AATTCAAATCCTTTCTATGGAATCTAATATTAGCTACTTATTTATTCAACTGTATATTTATATACAAACGAGTATAATAAAGAGTGGTTACAAGACAATCAATATATTAGTTCCAATTTCAATAAATTATATTTACAAGAACAACAACAACAACATATTAGCATTTATTCCAAATATTTAGGATTGACTACATAAACTTTATCCTTCTATTCTATTCTCATCTATTGTCATTTCGTCTGTTAAGCTGACCATTATTGCATTATTCTTAATTGCTTTTAATTAAATTATTTAAAATCTACCTCTAGAATTTTACACATATCAAATGTAATACCATCACTCTTTCTAACTGGTGCACCAAGATATCTCCATTGTACAAGACTAAATCATCGTAGGCCATTCTCTCGCATTTTATCCTCAATAGGATCAACTACTAATTTACTTTGAATACCCTCATTTCTTATCTTAATTATCTTTAAGTGTACACTCACAAGACCATCATAACATTCTTGTTTTTGCTATACTCAGTAACCATCATAATATTCTCATTTTTAGCTATACTCACTTTTTTGCATATATTTTTTTAAATGCCCAACATTCTAATTCATAAATGCATTATGGTGTTATAATCTCCCTATAAAAATTTTCGTTAGGCTTATAGGTATTTTGCGATCACATAAGACTCTCGTACTGTTTTTCCATGCATTTTAACCATCCTTATTTAATCTAATGGACAATGTCATTCTCAATCTCATCATCTTCGTGAATGGTTGATCATAAACAACGAAAGTGGTAGCTTCTAGATATTTCTTGACCATTAATATGCACTATAGGATCTTTTCTTTTTTTAGTTTTACTAAAAATGTATTCTATATATTCTATTTTTTGTTCTATAGAATTTAAAATCTTTACTTTCAAGAGTTTGTTCTCACCTTTCTACTTTAGAAATTATATATATTTTAGTTTTGTCAACTAATACTATATAATCAACATATAATATACACTATGATATTTCATCCTAAAAATTTCTAGTAATACAACTAAAGTGTAAAAGATAAGGACTTTCAACACACTATATTTATGGATAAAAAATGGACGAATACACTTAGGAAAGCATGCAAGTCCAATAATTAGGTTTTGCAAGAAACATATTTTTTGCCGTGATAATGTCATCATGTTAAAATCATGATTTCTTTCGGCTAATTTACTAATTTTGAATTAATTAATTATTTGTTCTAACTCTTGTTATTGGAATACTGACGAATTTGAGTGTTAGAGCTAGGCATGTCCATCCGCCCCGGCCCTGGCCGGGCAAAATCGGAGCCCGGACCTGGGCCCGGTTGCCCTGGGCCTAAGCGGACCAAGCTCCGGGCCGGCCTGGATTTTTTTTACTTTTTTTATTTTTTAAAAATCTCTTTAAATTTTGAAATATACATAAAAACTTACAGAAAATGCTACTAAAAACAATAATATTATTAATAACTTGAATAACATAAATTACAAATATAAAAAATTATAAAAATGAAAAGTGATAAAAAAAACTTCTTTATAAATAATTAATAAATCCTTTACAAGTATAAATTTATTTTGAAATTTGTCGTATCACAATAGATGAGTACATCCTAACTAGATTGACATCTACTCACCTATATCATTATCATTTGTAACTGTTTCTAAAATAATTCATTATAAATTTAAAGCTAAGAAATAAAAATTACAATTTGATGAATATTGTTTAATATTTATATCTATCTGCTAGTCCAAACTTTTTAAATTTATCTTCAATTCCAGCCATCCGATCGATGTCTTACGTTTGCTTCTCGTGCCTCCACCAATCTTGCAAGCACATCAGCGCTTGTATAGTATACGGATCTAAGCATGTTCTGTGATTGTCGATCAAACGTCCTAGTGTGCTGAAGGCGGATTTTGAAGCTACTGTCAAAACCTGCACTGTTAGTAAGTTACGAACTATGGTGGAAAGTATAGGATATGAAACTGATCCATATACTCTCCACCATTGTCAAAACCTGCATTTCCTTGACATTTAACTAAAGAAAAAGATAAATATTCATCTATTTCAGAAACCTCTAATGATGATCCAAGTCCAGATCCACCAGTTAACTCAGCAAGATAAATATTCATCTATTTCAGAAACCTCTAATGATGATCCAAGTCCAGATCCACCAGTTAACTCAGCTACCATTGCATACCTATCAAAACTTATACTCTAATGATGATCCAAGTCCAGATCCACCAGTTAACTCAGCTACCATTGCATACCTATCAAAACTTATATTACCTCGGCTTGAACTCGAAGGCGCCAAAGCTGTAGACTGTTGTGTAGCTACACCATGTCTAGGTGCATACTCATCATATAAGGTTTGAAAAAAATTTCTAATAGTTAAATGATGAGAAGTAGAAGTAAGGGTGGATCCGTCATCTAAGTCTATAATCTATCCACCATACAATGATTGTAACAAACTTCAAATGTCAATATCCTTCAAACAGGGATCAATAAGAATCCCAAACAAAAATTATGAGGAATAGGCCTACAATACTTATTAAACTTGCTCTTCATTTAAAAAATTATAGCTCCAAAAGTATCATTCATACGATATTTAGCAAATTTTTTTTGAATATTTAAAAGTTGTAAAGCAATTAAAGTAATAGTTGGATAATAACAGTCAGATAATAACATTGTAACATCATAAAAAACTTGTAACATCTCATTTAAATTATATAATTGTCCATTCATCTTCAGTTATTCCATAAGTGCTACCAGAGCTAGAACTAGAAACATAATAATTTATAAAATTATTTATAATTTCTTTATATTCTATTGTCACACTTAACATTGCATTGGTGAAATTACACATATGGTTAACATCTTTTGAAATTAGTCTGGGCTTATAATTTTTTTTTACAAAATTGTTTCCATCTTTTAAATCTTTGTTCAGAAGCATTATGCATATAAGCAACTGTTCTAACCTTTTCTATCATGGGTTTAATTTCAATAAATATATTTTAAACAATTAAATTTAAAATATGATAGATATATCTAATATAAAAAAAGATCACCATGACATGATAATGTCAGAGTTGTTTTGATAAAATCAATAGCTACATTGTTATTACTTGCATTATCTAGTGAAAAAGAAAATATTCTTTGATTAATTTCTAATTTTATAAGTTCTTCAATTATTAAATTTGCAACATTAATACCAGTATGTGACTCTTTAATTGTAATAAAGGAAATAACTCTTTTAAACATTTATCAATTTTTATCAATCCAGTGTGTTGTGATACATAAATAACCAGTTTGTGCTCTAGATGTCCAAATATCAAAAGTTAAAGAAAATCTATAGTTTAAAATTCTAAAATAAGAAATTATTTTTTCTTGTTCCTCCTGATAATATTTTAAAATATCACGTTGACAAGTTTGACGAGAAAATTTTGTAAATACGGGATAAAAACCATCTCTAAAGATATATTCAAATTCATCATCTTCTACTAATTTGAAATGAAGGTTTTTAAGAATGATAAACCTGATGACACATTTCCTGGCTCGGATAGTGTCATAATTCTAACTATCGAGACTATCAGAAGAGGATGATTGGGAAATCATAGATTGTCGGATATCACCTTGAGGATCTGGCATTTGTTGTGTTTTCTATATGATGTTTGAGGTGGTTGGTGTCGTTCTTATGATGAGCTTGGAAAGTCTTACCGCACAACACACATTTAGCCTTCTGAGTAAGGATCCTACCGTGTTCATCATTGATGACATCTATCTTCTCAAAAAAATTCTACACATCGGATCTCGGCCTTTTAAGAGCTCTTGGTGTAGAATCGTGGGATTTTTGGACAGGCCTAGTTAGAGCAACACCTCTATTTTTGATCTATTTTGTTATTGTAATAATATTTTGATATTGCAATATCATCTAACTAAACAAAATTTTTAAAATTTGGATGTAGCTAAAGTAACATGGACTTCAGACTCCTAACTAGTCCTAAAGAACCAGTGGTGAAACTAGAATTTTATCTTAGTGGTGTCATCATAAAACTTATATATCATGAATTTATTTGGAATCTGTATTGATATTTTTATAATTTTATCCGCATCAAGGGGTGTCCTATCTTAAATTTAGTAGTGCACTGAGCACTAAATACAAGTAAACGTAAATAAAAATACAAATAAAGTAGAAAATCCAGTAATGCTCTCACTACTGGATCATATGTAGCTTCACCACTATAACAAATAACAACTCATACTTAGGACTGTAAGCCCATCTAAATTACATAAACGATTTTCCATAAAAATGAATTACATAAAAAAGTGATACAGGAAATATCAGTATACTTAGTTAACGATTTGAGATTAATTAGTTAGTAATCAGTTTTTGGGAATTAACTTAGGAAAAAGACATGTCTGCCATTCAACATTGGCTAACTGGGAAATTTTGTGGGGAAACTTGAATTACAAAGATCCTCGTTGTTTATTGCCAAACTACAAAGTCATGTGTGTTTAATTTGTGATGTTAACTTATTTTTGAGATCCCTTTTTTTTTGGTACGTTTTAAGATCCCTTTTTCCTATGACGGAAAACCAAAGTATCGAGGTTCTTTCTACAAAATACACCTAACATAGGCTTTGTTTTGACTTTGACATTCCAAAGTTTACACGCTTCGTTACTTTGATACCCTTGTTTAACAACCGTCTTTTGTTTAATCTGTTATTAAGTGGAACAACAAGACTGAAATACCCCCCAACTTAATCAGCAAATACAATTGACATCACAATGCACAGCTTCAATTCCTACTCGATCGGATAGGGATACACGTATTTCAGTCTTTCTATTCCACTCATCACAAAGCAAACGGTTTGTTAAATGACAAAATTATCAAATTGTATTTTTTTTAAATACCCTTCTTACGAGTTTTATTTTTTCTTATGTTAAACCCCTGGCGAAAACTTTTTTCCTCCTAACAGCCCCCCTTTTCACCATGTATGAAGGTAAGACCATGCTCTCTCCATTTCCTCCTAAACTTTATTTCATTGTACGAAACTCAACATTCTTGCAGGGCCGGCCCTGGGCCTAGGCAGGGGGGGCGACGGCCCAGGGCCCCAAACATAGGGGGGCCTCCAATTTATATAGATATCTTTAGTAGTAATATGTAATGTCCAGCAGCCCGTTAGCATTTGTTTTTTGATTACTGGGCTTGGAGTACTTAATTAGGTGAGGGGCTGAGGGCCCATTTAATATAGCATTTGTTTTTTGATTACTGGGCTTGGAGTACTTAATTAGGTGAGGGGCTGAGGGCCCATTTAATATTCGGTATATGAGTATATTATATGACCGTTTATATCATAATTGCCTTGCCTTTGCTGTAGGAGTAATTGCTGAGGGCCCATGTAATTGCCTCATTTTTTATTTTCGCCAAGGGCCACCAAAATCTCAGGGCCGGCCCTGCATTCTTGCATAAGCTTGAGTATATAACTATTATCTTTATATAAATGTACGAAATAATCTTTTTGTGCTGTCCTTGTGAATAAGATAATACTAATAACATTACGTGAGGTTTCGCCCTTTTTTTTCCTTGCACATTTAGCTCAACGAAAGTACTAAAACGTTGTCAGAAATAGGAGAAATACCAAACTAGTAAGAGTAGTGCACAAAAATTACTTACTAATCTGGTTATTTAATCTCGGTTAAACAAAGGGTATCAAAGTGATTTAGGGTGTCGAAGTGTTGAAAATAAACTTTAGGGTATCAAAATGAAAACAATGTGTATTTTAGCGTATCAAAGTGAAAATAAGCCTATAATATAACATATGAACCCTCGCGAATAAAACGAACCTCCTCACAACGACGTTATTAAAGCAGCCATCCTCTCTCTCCCCCACTCCAATTCCCTCCTCTTTCTCTCTCTCTAAACCAACGAAAAAGAATTAAAAAAAAAAATCCCGTTCTCCTTCCCTCCAACCCTCTCTTGGGGCAACCAGCGCGTCCTCCGCTGCGTTAACCTCACCGCCGAAGGCAACGTCACCGCCACCAACAACAAATCCTCATCGGAATCTGATCCCAAGCCGAAGCTGAAGCGGGTCGAGGAGGAGGCGGAGTCGTCCTCGCCCGCTCGGCCCTGGAATCTTCGGACTCGGCGAGCGAATCCGAATCGGATCTCAAACCAGAACGCAAGTCCGAGTCCGAACTTGAAACGGAGCTCGCCATCGCCGCCGTCGCCGCCGTCGCCAACGATTTTGGCGGTGGAGGGGGGCAATCTGGTGAAATTGGGGAGATCGGAGGAAGAGGAGAGGAACAGAGGGGAAAGGTGCAAGTTTTCTGTGGCGTTGAAGAGGGAGGAGATTGAAGAGGATTTTGTGAAGATGAAGGGATCGAAGCCGCCGAGGAGACCAAAGAAGAGGGCTAAATATGTTCAGAGGCAGCTCGATGTAAGGGCAAAATTTGAGATCTTTTGTTCGATTAGTCTTGATTTTTTTGTTCTTTGATTTATTGGTGTGTTCTTGTTGCATTTGAAATTGAAAATGTCTATTAGTTGATTTTTTTTTTGTTCTTCGTTTGATCCTGTGAGCTGATTTTATTGAGGATTTCAAAGAGATTCTTGAAAGTCGAACCCTCGATTTCTTGCATTTGAAATCGAAAATGTCTATTAGTTGATTTTTTTTTTGTTCTTCATTTGATTATGTGAGTTGATTTTGTTGAGGATTTCGAAGAGATTCTTGAAAGTGGAACCCTCGATTTCTTGCATTTGAAATTGAAAATGTCTATTATAGTTGATTTTTTTTGTTGTTCGTTTGATTCTGTGAGCTGATTTTGTTGAGGATTTCAAAGAGATTCTTGAAAGTCGAACCCTCGATTTCTCAATTGTTTTGAAAAGAAGAAACTTTGTCGATTGGTTTGTTCTTTGATTCATCCTATCTTTCTTGTTGCATTTGACTTTTTATTGTTCTGTGGGCTGATTTTTCTCTTGAGCTCACATTCCTGAAGTTTTAAGATCGCAAAGATGATTCTCTTAACTGCTTTGGGAGTCCTTGATTAAATTAGATGTTGTCTGTCGTCAATTTAATTTTATCGGACATTGTCAATTTGGAGAGGATTTGAGGGTAAAAGCATCTCTTTTCCTTTAAGCTACTTAATTAGATTTTTGTAATGTTATTTGATTGGCTTAGTCTTTAGTTTCCTTTGATTCTCCTGTTGAAAACGGATCAATTTTGTTTCCTTTGATTCTCCTGTTGATCAGTGCGGTCTTCCTCATCCTCTTCATTGATTATCTCAACATTTTCTTCTTTTATCAATGATAATTGGGACAAAGAGAATGGGTCAATTTTAATCTTGTATCTCATCCTCTTTGACTGGTAATGACATTTAGTTTCACTTTTTTTAAAAGCCAATTTAGTTTACTCTGTTTTTACTTGTATGTTTTCTTCAAATTTTGTCCAGTTTTAGTTTTTATCTGTTCTTCTGGCGCTCTTTAGATCGATATGAGGTTGGCTTTTCAATTTAATCACCCGTGAAGGAGGAATGGAAAGAAAAGAAGCACATTTTTAGTTATATTAAGAGTTCACTATATCTAATTATTTATGTTCTTGTTTGCAATTCTTTTGCAGTCTCTTTTCCCCGGCTTGTGGTTGTCTGAGATAACAGCGGATTTGTACAAAATTGATGTTGAGGTAATTATTCTCTTTTTATTCATTTATACTCTATTCTTGGGTTATTTATTATACCTTCATTAACACATTTTTCCCTTTTTCTTTTCCACAGAAAACCTAGTTCATGATAAAATTGAAGTTATTTGAAGAGTTCGCAAGATACTGACTGTCCGATGTAATGTTTCAGGCCTTTGGTTAGTTTGGTTCTTTGTATCACATTGCATTTATATGCAACTGTTAATTATAATTAATAAATGTGCTCCAAAATTTTGTTCTTCAGTTGCAAATTGCTTCCATACGCTGAAATTTACTTACTTTTTCCCCATTTCCCTTTGTCTAATTCAAATGTTGAATAGATTGCTTTACACGCAAAGGCGTGTTGATATGTCATACAGAATTTAGGAAAGAATTTAGTCTTTGGTTTGGTGGTAAGAAATGCAAAGTTTGAACCTTTTTAAGCCTGATTATCATGTGTTAAAGGAATGAAATGGTGGAGTAAGTTTCTGATGCGGCTTAGAACGAGGATGGAGCTGGAATCAGATTAAAACATCATGTTGTAATTTCTTTCTATGGAGACATGTAGTTAAAATCGATGGTTGTGGAGTAAATATTCAAGGCAAATGCATGATCAGATCAATTGAGCTGTTCTCATGAAAAAGATTGTCATTGCATAACAATGTTCTTCATAGTGAGATCAAGTGTTGCCAAAGGTGCATCTGGAACTAATTCCTACAAAGGCCTATTAGTTATGTGTTGATTGTCGTCCCTGAAGATTCTTCGTAGATGCACTCTTGATTGAAGTTCATGTTCTGTAAGTTACTGTTCTATTATTGGAAATATAAGCAGTCATGTTGCTTTTGCGCATAGTCTGTATCGTCATTAACAACATGCATTGGTTATATCGCATCGGGTATTAAGCATACATGGTCTATCCAACTAAAGCTAGTTGATACTATCAATATTGGCTAATAACGACTAATATAATCAAAACTGACTAATACAGCTGGAGTTCTGAGATTTGAGGTACTAAATATTGATTTGAATGCTAAGAAATTTATGAATAGAAATCTTGTGATCGAACTTCAACTTATTGCATGCATCAAAACATTTAGTCTGAAACCCCAAAACTCCTGACACTTCTGCACGAATTGTGAAGTAAAGCATGAGAAATATTGAGATTTCAAAGCTTATTTCTTAGATGTATATACCATAATACTATTGGTTTAAGGCCTTTTTTTCGAGTTAATATCTTCCAATCAGTGCCTATGTGGTCCTGTGATACTATATTTCAAGTTCACATTCTATCAAATTGGGTACCATTTTAGGAGAAGGATTGCTGTCAGAGTTCTTTTTCCCCCTTTGCCTATTAAGATTACCTTGTTTTTGCAGTTACTTCTCTAGAAATAATGAAGCTTTAGATTTTGTAAAACTGCATTTTCTAAGTTCTGCTATTTCGTCATGAGCCTATGTTGTTTTCCAATATATTTGTGTTGGCTATATCTCCCAATCCTTCAAAAAAACAATTTCTTTGTCATTCGAATCTAAGATCACTGAAACATGACCAAACAACTGGCAGAAGTTTTTGAGAAAGGTGAAGAGGAAGAAACTACGTATTCGTCGGCGCGACAATATGAGTATGCTAATTGTGCTGGAAATTCAAATCTTACTCCTTGATACTGAAATGGATTTAAGAGTTTCTGGTTCTATTTGTACCGCAGTCTGATGATCCAATTATGAAGAGGAGAAACCCCAAAAATGGTTCCATTTTTCCTTTTCTTTCAGGACTGTTAAGAGCCTCTTATAAGTTTAGTTTGTTACAGCAAAATGGTAACTCCAATGTTATTTCAGGAGAAAGAAGTTATATCTTGTCCCCCAATTCTTTTCTCCAGATTGTTTATTTCATTTTCTTTATCTAATTCTTTAGTTTTTCCAATTGTGTGCACCCCCCAGGCTGCGCAATCGGTCGGTTCGGTTCGGTTATTGGTCAAATTTGGTCAAACCGAACCGAACTGCCTATCATTCAAAACCGAAGCGAACCGATTCAAGTCGGTTCCGAACCGCCTATCATTCAAAACCGAAGCGAACCGATTCAAGTCGGTTCGGTTCAGTTCGGTTCGGGTCGGTTTGTTTGGTTTTTACTAAGGTATAAGTGTTATGTCCAAATTCAACATCACCTCTATTCTGTTAACGAAGAAAGAAGTCTCTTACACTTTAATTTATTGAAATTCATAAACTATTAAATGTTACTGAATATTAGATGTGGAAATTAAAATCTTATTACTACCAAAGATTACATAATTTTTTTTAGAGAAAACTTACATAAAGAATTAAAGTGATCTCAATCTGATAGACAAAGTAAATAAAAAATATGTAATAATTTGGATGTTGAGTATAGTTTCTATAAAATTATAAGTCTGATCCAAAAAGAAGTCTAATCCAAAAATGTATCAATCAAGGAGAAAAATCAGGAAAATGTTAGAATTAACATTATGGTTTAAGTTTCTTACCTTCAAAGTGGATTGATCCAAAGTAGAAAAAACAAATATGTAATAGAGAGGGATAGACAGAGAACTAGAGATAATGAAAAGCCCTAGAATTGGAGAGGACACTATTGTTGGGGTATTTTATCACTATCAGATCGCATGAGAGAAAATATATCAAACTGCAGAGGAGTAACTCTATATGAACTATAATGGGTCGGGTTTAAGCGGATGTCAATTGTAATTAGAATGAATAATACAATTCGGTCGGTTCGGTCGGTTTGGGTTGAAAAAACTTCAACCGACCCGAACCAAACTCTAATAAAACCAAACCGAGTTGTAAATTTGACAGGTTCTTTTATCGGTTTGAACCGAACTATACTCAACCACCACCACCCCCCCCCCACCCCCCAAAAAAAAAAAAAAATTTTGTGGACAAGAATAGACGATTAATTTATGTCTTGAAGCTCAGAAGAAACGAGGATGCGAAGTTAACTTTCTGCGTAATCTCATCCAGCGCGTTTGATTTTGCTACTAAAAAAACTAGTTTTTAACTTGTGTCATCATATGTAGTGACTCTATACAATCTGCATTTAATTTGCTGCGTAGTGTAATCCATGAAAAATCTGTATGCAGGGATCATCACAGTGAAGAGCTTCATCTGAAGAATTGAAGGCTCTCTCATTTCATTTAGTATGTTAGTTAATTGATTTTCATTTAAGCAAAGGTAATGTATACTGTATTATGCAATGCTAATCCCTACCCGAGTTAAACTGCGATGCCTGCTTATAAACAGATTCAGCTATCCCCTAATTTTATACTCTTTATTTAACTTGATTGCTGATTTAGATTAGATGAAAATACTTCGACGTCACCTGACGTGGTTCTGAGAGCCTCCCTCTTTGTTTTCCATTGGATCTCACCCAATTTTTTCTTAAGAAAAAGTTGTACATTGGCGCGTCGGCAGAGTAAAAATTCATGTTGCTGTTGATGTTTATTGGTATCTCTTGCGCATACACGAGAGGTCTTTACCTATATCCTCTGAGATTTCCTTGCGGGCCCCAAAATCAGGCAGAAACTGAGAGCATGTTTTGCGACTTTGGAATGTAGTCCACTTGGACTATAATCCACAAATGGATGTAGATTATAATCCAATTTCGGTAGTGAAGTTTTTGGCAAATGAATGGATAATGATCCTATCATTGTTGTCAAAATGACCGAAAAGAACATGACTTACAAATTATAATCCACCAAAAACGCTAAACTTGGAATTTTGTGAAACGATGAGGGTTATATATGTCTTTCACTTGGTCAATTTTTTTTTGGTTTATAATCCATAAAAAAAACTAAGCTACTGTAACCTAGCATATTTTTTGATGGATTATAAGTCAAAATAAGGCACTTGCCAAACATCTCAAAGTGGTTATAAGAGCATCTCTAACAGCTTCCCCATTTCCCATTTTTGGAGAATTTAGTTAGGTTTTTGGTACAAAAGATTCTTCATCTCATTTCCTAAAATAGGGATGGAGGAGAAAAAATGGGGAAGCTTCCTCAAATCTGCAGCATTCTCCAAGTTTTTGGAGGAAAAAATGGATTCTTCAAAATGGGGAAGCTGTTGGAGTTGGTGTAAAAATAATTTGGAGAATATGACTTTTGCTTCCCCATTTTGGAGAAAATTTTAGAGAAGCTATTGGAGATGCCCTAAGCCACAAAAGTAGCCACAACAGTAGCTTATAACCCACTTTGACAACTTACCAAGCATGCTCTAAGTTACAGGCTTGACACGTCGGCATTTTGCATTTTCTCTTTTTGTGGATATTATTAACATCCTTCTTATTAGGAGTGTCCCGTATAAATTCAGCCTTAGATGTGGATTTCGGTCTAACAAAGACGTAGCCTGAAGATTTAGTAGCCTCAAATGAGTATATATTAGATATGTTTGGACTCATGAATATATGTTAGATATGTTTGGACTCGTGACTTGATTAAGGTTACTCCTTTTGAGCCATTTTAGATCCAAGTAGATTAATCATGTTCATCTTAGATTTTTATGAGGTCCATTGTGTAATCCCCATGAGTAATATTTTCTTTCTTCTTTCTTCCATTCTCAGGGCTTATGCGCCGAGATTTTCATGTTAAGGCAAATTTATTTTAATGAAAAAACAATTGTTTGTGCATATATAGCTTCCGGCCTTTTTCCAAAAAGGCAATCTTAATTTACAAGAAATAAAATATTAATTTAATTATAAATTTTCAAGGATCTAAGTGCTAGAGTCGCATACAAGTATTTTCCTCAAAAAATTATAACTCAATTTTATTTGTTACAATGTTATTTTCAGTAGATAGATGATAGTTGACATTTATAATTAAGTTGACATTGCAAATAAAAAAAGAAATCAACTATTTGAAAATATAAATTCCTTTTGAGAAAATATTTACAACTGAAAAATTCAATACGCATTGTATCAGGATAGTTCTACAATATCTCGTTTTCTCATGCATTCAAAGAACAATCCTACAATAATCTTTCTGTAAATCCTTTAATAGCTATTTATGCCATCATCATAAATAAAATTTATACGATCTGTCCGCAAACCTGCCCCAAATTCCCAAAAAAAAGCGATAAATTTGATCCAACAAAATGGTTGCAGATTGCTAATTAATCTGCATATTGATCATTTTGTTCCATCATAAATAAAATTTATACGATCTGTCCGCAAACCTGCCCCAAATTCCCAAAAAAAAGCGATAAATTTGATCCAACAAAATGGTTGCAGATTGCTAATTAATCTGCATATTGATCATTTTGGTTCGTCTGAAGTACGAACGCGAGGTTCGTCTGAAG